CCTCCTGGGTTCAAGTGATTCTCCTGCCTCAGCTACCTGAGTAGCTGGGATTACAGGAGCCCAAAACCACACCCAGCTAATTTTTGTATTTTTAGTAGAGATGGGGTTTTACCATGTTGGGTCAGGTTGGTCTCAAATTCCTGACCTCAGGTGATCCACCCCCCTCAGCCTCCCAAAGTGCTGGGATTACAGGCATGAGCCACCGCACCCAGCCACAATATATTAAAAATTATTTGGTTTCTGGGTGTGGTGGTTCACTCCCGTAATCCCAGCACTTTGCGGGGACACAGCAAGAGGATCACTGGAGTCCAGGAGTTTAACACCAGCCTGGGCAACATAGTGTGACTCTGTCTCTACAAAAAATTGGCTGGGGGCAGTAGCTCATACTTGTAATCCCAGAACTTTGGGAGGTCAGGGCAGGTGGATCATCTGAGGTCAGGAGTTGGAAACTAGCCTGGCTAACATGGTGAAACCCTGTCTCTACTAAAAAATACAAAAATTAGCTGGGTGTGGTGGTGGGCGCCTGTAGTCTGAGCTACTCGGGAGGCTGAGGCAGGAGAATCGCTTGAACCCAGGAGGTGGAGGTTGCAGTGAGCTGAGATCCACCATTGCACTCTAGCCTAGGCGACAAGAGCAAGACTCCATCACAAAAAATAAAAATAAATATTAGCAGGGCGTGGTGACGGGTGCCCATAGTCCCAGCTACTTGGGTGGCTGAGGTGGGAAGATTACTTAAGCCCAGGAAGTTGAGGCTAAGGTTAGCCATGACTGCACCACTGCATTCCAGCCTGGGCGAAGGAGTAAGACCCTGTCTCAAAGTTAAAAAAAAGGTCTTTTGTGTGCTAATGACATGACTGGCTACTGAGGGTCCTTAGATAGCTTCAGGATGGGGGCTGGTCACCAGAAAATCTAAGGCATGATTAGAGGGTTGGAACTTTCAACTTCATCCCTGAGGGAAGAGGGGCTGGAGACTGAACTAATCACCAATAGCCAGTGACTGAATCAGTCATGGCTGTGTGCTGAAACATCCACTAAAAACGAAACCACAGGGTTTGGAGGGCTTCCACATTGAATGGTGAACATTCATGTGTGTGGTGAATACACTGAGGTGCTGGGAGGGTTGCATGCTCCCGCTTCCTACTTTGCCCTGTGCGTCTCTTCCATCAGGCTCTTTCTTTTTTCTTTTTTTTTTTTTTTTTTTTTTTTTGAGATGGAATCTTGCTCTGCTGCCCAGGCTGGAATGCAGTGGCGTGATCCTGGCTTACTGCAACCTCTGCCTCCTGGGTTCAAGTGATTCTCCTGCCTAAAGTCTCCTGAGTAGCTGGGATTACAGGCATGCACCACCACACCCAGTTAATTTTTGTATTTTTAGTAGAGACAGGGTTTCGCCATGTTGGTCAGGCTGCTCTTGAATTCCTGACCTCAGGCAATCCACCCGCCTCGGCCTCTCAAAATGCTGGGATTAGAGGCGTGTGCGCCCAGCCCCATCAGGCTCTTTCTGAGTTGTTTATTTTATAATAACCTGGTAATAGTAAGTGAAGGGACTTTCTGAGTTTTGTGAGCCCTTCTAGCAAATTATCAAGTCCAAGGAGGGGTTGGTTATGGGAAAACCTGATTTGTAGCTGATCAGTCAGAAATATGGGAGGTCCGAAAATTTGACGGGTGTCTGAAGTTGGAGGCAGCCTCGTGAGACTGCATCCTTAACCTATGTGGTCTGTGCTAACTCTGGGTTGTTAGTGCCCGAATTAAGTTGGTTTACTGGACACTCAGTTGGTGTCAGAGAGTTGGAGAAGTGGGACTAGAAAAGACACCACACAACTGGTGTCAGGAGTTTAAAAACCCACACATTTGGTGTCAGAAGTATTGAGAGTAGGCCAGGTGTGGTGGCTCATAACTGTAATCCTAGCACTTTGGGAGGGCAAGGCAGGAAAATCATTTGAGGCTAGGAGTTCAAGACCAGCCTAGGGGCCAGACACGGTGGCTCATGCCTGTAATCCCAGCACTTTGGGAGGCTGAGGTGGGCAGATCACGAGGTCAGGAGTTCAAGAACAGCCTGGCCAACATGGCGAAACCCCGTCTCTACTAAAAATACAAAAATTAGCAGAGCATGGTGGCATATGCCTGTAATCCTAGCTACTTGGGAGGCCGAGGCAGAAGAATTGCTTGAACCCAGGGAGGTGGAAGTTGCAGTAAGCCAAGATCATGCCACTGCACTCTAGCCTGGGCTACAGAGTGAGACTCCATCTCAAAAAAAAAAAAAAAAAAAAAAAAGAAAACTCCCACAAAAAAAGAAGACTTGAGGGGAAAAAAAAAAAAAAAAAAAGAAAAGACCAGCCTCGGCAGTGGCAAAACCCTGTCTTTACAACAAACACAAAAATTAGCCGGGCATGGTGGCACATGCCTGTAGTGTCCCAGCTACTTGGGGGACTGAGGTGGGACAGCTTGAGCCTGGGAGGCAGAGGTTACAGTAAGCTGAGATCTCACCACTGTACTTAGCCACGACGACAAAGTAAGACCCCATCTCAAAAAAGAAAAAAAAGTGTTCCAGAAAAGGGTTAAAATAAAATAAAAAATAAGTGTTGAGAGTAAAAATAGACCACATGCAACCTCATCTTTTTTCTTCCCTTCTTCCTTACGCCCTAGGAAATGTTCTGTGAAGGTCAAGTGTGCAAACAGACATTCCAGAGAGCCTGATCCATATCCAGCAGCAGAGCCCACTTGTGGCTGCAGCTTTATGCCAAATTATATTGCAGACTGAACAGATGTTTATCCATCCCATTCGGTGATGAGGATTCGTGGCTGGAGAGAGCCACACAGCCTGTAACCTGAAGTCATCTAGATTATGGGGAAACTGCTCAGCTTCAATAAACCTGTCCAAATGACTCTGAAGTTTTTCCTTTTCAATTTAGGAAATCCCAGCATTTTAAAAAACATTTGAAAGCCTTCTAGGTGCACAAGAGACACACCAATGAATAAGCTATCATTCCTGCCTTCAAGGCTAGTGAGGAAGCTGGCCCAAACAAGCAACCTGAACAGCTACCAGAGCTCTGGGGTTGGGGGGCAGATGACTTTGAGGGATGGGCAGGTGGTGACATTGACAGGGGTCTGGGATGGTGATTTTTGTTTCTTTGTTTTTCTTTCTTTTTTTTTTTTTTGAGACAGTCCTGCTCTGTCACCCAGGCTAGAGTGCAGTGGCTCCATCTTGGCTCACTGAAACCTCTGGCTCCTGGCTTCAAGCAATTCTCCTGCCTCATCCTCCCAAGTAGCTGGGATTATAGGCATGCGCCACCACACTTGGCTAATTTTTGTATTTTTAGTAGAGACAGGGGTTTCACCATGTTGGCCAGACTGGTCTTGAACTCCTGACCTCAGGTGATCCACCCACCTCGGCCTCCAAAGTGTTGGGATTACAGGCCTGAGTCACCGCGCCTGGCCAGCAGTTCCTCTTTTTTTTTTCAAACAAGATTTAGAAGCTCCCCAAGGGTAGTTTAGAGAAAGGAAAATCCAAGACAGGAAATCAGAAGCTATTCATGAGGGGGAAAATAACCTTAATAATGGCAAAGTTACACAAACAACAAACCAGAAAGGAATCATTTCAGAAGCCAAGAATTCAACCCAAATCACCCTTGTCAAAAGATAAAGCCTTAGCTACTGAGCCACACAGCATTGGGCAGTTTCTTTCTTTCTTTCTTTCTTTCTTTTTTTTTGAGACGGAGTCTCGCTCTGTCACCCAGGCCGGAGTGCAGTGGCCGGATCTCAGCTCACTGCAAGCTCTGCCTCCCGGGTTTACGCCATTCTCCTGCCTCAGCCTCCCGAGCAGCTGGGACTACAGGTGCCCGCCACCTTGCCCGGCTAGTTTTTTATATTTTTTAGTAGTAGAGACGGGGTTTCACCATGTTAGCCAG